GCCAATGAGGCATCTCCACAAGCTTCCCCAGGGTTTGTTTCTTTGCCCTTCTCTTCTCCTCCCCTCTCCCGGGGACATGATGCTGCTCTGAGAGTTTATCTGTGTATGGCCAACACAGAGACATCATCAAAAATGGCAAGCCTTCTGGTAAACAGTAGAAAGCCCCTTGGAGACAACCAAATGACAAACAAAAGACACAACTTCAAGTTCTCTTTGATGAATAATGACTTAAGATAATGCCTAAAAGCACCACCATCAATTTTAGGCGGGCCCTATTTAGTAAGGATGGTTCCCCAAAGAAGAATTTTTAAAAGGCTGACTGAAGGCAGACTCTATGTATGGGTGCTCCTTCAGGGTCTCACAAGCAGAATACTATCCTACGTGAGCAGTAACCATACAGAGGTATGTGAGGGTACAGCTCCTCACATACCCACAGGAACATAATTTGAATACTCAAGCTCTTTCATCTTCACTGCTGTTCCCGAGGGGAAAAGGTCTATTTTCATTTTTCAAGTGAAACCATGAATGGCTACGTTTCAAAGGAGTGGCTGCTCTCTTAGTTCTTTGAAAATACCTTAAGAAACCTGTTGGAAAAGTATGAACATTTGGATACTGATTCTTAGGAGAAGTTTTGGGACCACTTTCTTGCAGTTACTTTCTGGGATCTTCATGGCATAGCTGCCAGGATTATACCTGTTTGATCAGTGCAAAAGTGAAGAATGCACAGTTCAACAGCTTGGTAAAGGACCTGAGAGATCACATTCTGGAAGATACTTTTGTTCACCAATAATTAATGGGCCATTTTGGAAGTCACATGGAAATAAAGCAAGAGCCTGAGATACCTTATCCCAAGCCTTTTAAATCTGACAGGGCTTAACTCTTATGTGAATAATTAGATCACCTGAAGCAAGGCAGCATAACCTGTTCTGCTAATCTCAGGCTTCACATCATTCCAAGGGGCCTCAACAGTTCATGGCCAAGCCTGTCCCTGCAGAATCTGCCCTCTACCTACATGCATCTATGGAGCACTTGAAATGTGACCAGTCCAGGGGCACCTGGGGGCTCAGTCGGTTAAAGCATCTAACTCTGATTTCAAGTCAAGTCTTCATTTCAGCGTCAAGAGTTCAAGCCCCACACTGGGCTCCATGCTGGATATGAAGCCTACTTAAAAAAAAAAAAAGTGACTAGTCCAAACTGAGATGTGCCATAGAGCAAACTACATGCTGAGATTTGAAGACTTAGTTCAAAAATAGGAATGTAAAATACTTCAATAATAATTTTTGTATTTTTTAAATATTTATTTATTTTTTATTTATGATAGACATAGAGAGAGAGAGAGGCAGAGACACAGGAGGAGGGAGAAGCAGGCTCCATGCCAGGAGCCCGACGCAGGACTCGATCCCGGGACTCCAGGATCGTGCCCTGGGCCAAAGGCAGGCGCCAAACCACTGAGCACCCAGGGATCCCAATAATTTTTGTATTGATTACATGTTGAAATGATAGTTTGGGTATATTGGATTAGGTAAAATATATTAAAATTAAACTCATTTCTTTTTACTTTTTCTAAATGTGGCTACTAGAATGTTTAAAATATATATAATTCTCATTATATATATTTCTATGGACAGCAATGCTCTAGACCCATGAATTACAGAAGGAAAATAGGAAAATAACCTTTTTCAGAATGAGCAAAAGTTTATCTGAAGATTTTGTAAAATGAGTATTTTCCATGTTCTGCTGGCCTTGTCACTAACAACATTTATAAGTGGCATTCTTATCATAAAATTGCCCTTCAATCTCACACAGAGATGCGATCTCATTAATTTAGGCTTTTTCTTGATCAAATTATGTATTAAATGTAGTTCACTCAAGAAGTGCCTTTGAGGGGCAGCCCGGGTGGCTCAGTGGTTTAGCGCCCCCAGGGCGTGATCCTGGAGACCCGAACGAGTCCCAGCACGTCGGGCTCCCTGCATGGAGCCTGCTTCTCCCTCTGCCTGTGTCTGTGCCCCTCTTTCTGTGTCTCTCATGAGTAAATAAATAAAATCTTAAAAAAAAAAAAAAAGAAGTGCCTTTGAAAAGCTTCATCCTGAATATCTCCCACTAATCTAAGACTCACATTCTCCTAATTTGCTATCAATGATAAAATCTTACTAGGAAAACCACGTCTTCATTGGAATGCCTACTTTGTTGGAACACACTAAATATGTGTATCTAGCTATCCTACGAGATCATCCAATGTCCAAACTCACTAAAGCAGGTGAGAGAAATTATGGCAAGAAAGGATCAGGTCCACAGAGTGTCGGGAGGAGAGTTCCTTCATATATTCATTGAGCAGCATTTATGAAACGCTCACTTCTTGGAAAGCGTCCTTTGTGATTTTCTTTTCCTGGGCTTTATGATAGAATATGTGTGTGTGTGTGTGTGTGTGTGTGTGTGTGTGTGTGTGTATCACTCCCAGAAAGGAAGTAATTTGACAGAAAACTTTTAAAATGTTCACCAACTGCCTCCTGCCTCCCATTATTATCTGTGTTGTTATTGTTATTGTTGTTGTTGTTTATTCAGGTGATGGTATGACCACATTCTTAACAGACTTTTTTGTTTGGCTGGTTGGCTGGTTGGTTTGCAAGAACGATACTGTACTGTCTGTTTCAGGTTTTGCAACAGCTTTTCCAACTACCTCTCAACATAAACATTAAAGTTTTCAAAAAAATATGAAGGAATGAGTAAAATGTCAAATAGTTTTTTTCTAGTTATTGTGGTATTTGTTCCTTCCTCTTCCTGAGTCCCCCCACCATCTCCTTTAATGGAAATGGCATTAGCATTTTGACATATAATTTTCTCCATGGTAACACACATGGAGTGTGAAGCTTATCTGATTTGGAGGCCCACTTGAAGAAAAGAATACAGGGGGCACCTGCATGGCTCAGTGGTTAAGCATCTGCCTTTGGCTCAGGTCATGATCCTAAGGTCCTAGAATCGAATCCCATATGGGGCTCGCCAGAGGGAGCCTGCTTCTCCCTCTGCCTATGCTTCTGCCTCTCTCTCTCATCTCTCATGAATAAACAAATAAAATCTTTCAAAAAAAATACAGAATTATGAATACACAATTAGGTATATAGGACCTTAAAGGGTGCCCATGGAAGTGGAGGTCTCTAAATTTTAAGCTTTATTAGCTCCACAGGAAATCAGCTCTGCTCTTCTAATACAGATATACATATATAGGTGAAATGGGATCTCATTATTGTTTATTAAAGGAGGGGATTACATTATGAGCGCTTATCTGTATCTTTTCTTCCAAAGAATATGTTAGAGAAATCATTCAAAGACACGCAATATAGCTCAAATTCCCTTTTTCACATCACTACAACCATTCCATGGTGTCTGTGTGTACTACAAGGATTCAATCTTCCCTTCTTATAAGTGGACAGTCTCTTTGTTTCTAGTTGGGGGACGGGGTTTATGGGGATGAATTTTTTTTTTTTTGCCACTAATAAAAATGCCATGAGAACAATGCTTTTTTGGCAAGAAAGAAAGCTAGCTCAAGATTTTTAATAAATTACACTAAATTTATTAATTTGAGGAGAAATAGTTTTATGATGCTGAATCCTTCTATCCAAGAACTAGGTATAAATTTTTCCATTTAGCCATGTCCTACCTCACAAGGAATTTGCGATCCAATAAGAAAAATAAAGCTGTACACAATCAGCCATGATAGAGAAACGGAAAGTGCAAATTGTAACATATGAAACTGAAGGGAGAAAGTACCCAAGAGAGTAATGATCTGTGTAGATCTGACACACACGAAATGGAGGAGGGGAAATGTTAAAGAGGGTGGGCATGGGGCAGAAAGGAAGGCTGAGCAGTTTGGGGTCAAGAATCATGAGAGCTCTGTTTTACGATCACTCAGTCACGTGGATGAAAGACCAACAAGAGAAGAAGGGCCAGGGCTCATTAGAGAGTGCTTATAATGGTCCACAAGGAAAGGCACGGCACCTGAGCCAAAGGGAAGGAAGGGAGAACAGAAAGGACAGGAAAGATGAAACACACCCCCAGAGTTCAAATGCTGCTTAGATTAGGGAGGGAAAGAGAAGCGCTTCTGTTCTTGAGCCTGGGAACTGCAGGATGGTGGCGCCATTGATACAAAGGAATGAAGCTTCAGAAGACCATGTTTGAGTGACAAGATGGCCAGTTTCTTTTCAGATATGTTAAGTTTAACATATAAGCAGGATTTCCAAACAGAAATCCTGAACTAGAGCCCAAAGTGGGAGGGATGCCCTCTGTTGCTAAGGATAGTGATACATTTCACAGGTCCTCTGGAGAACCCCAACAGATGAGCTCACTTGCATAGAATGTTGGGCCTACTCACATTCTACAGGCTTCTCATCTTCCAGAAAAGCTAACTGCTTCTAGACTCCTCCTCCTCCTATTCAGAAAGTGCTCTTCTTCACTGCCTCCTTAAACCACAACCTGGCTGGGACAGCCCTTGCCTAAACTGCATCACTGAGCAGGCAAGACATTATTCGAAAGCTTCATGATGACAAGGGGAAAAAAACTCAGCCAACTCGTAGAACTAGGCAAATTCAGCCACATTTCAAAATAAAATTTATCCAGTCAAAAATATTATAAAACGCAAGTCTAGTTTTGTTTTAAACAGAAACTGAATTTTAAATTAACAGTAACTCAGAATCACTAGCAAACTATACTTTGAAATTATTTTTTCTTATAAACTAAACATGTAAAATAATTGTCAACAGAGGTTTGGTGGAAGAACATTATAGATATGATGTTTTTCCCAAACTAAAATTTTGGTGATTCCTGGTTCAAAGGCAATAACCAAGCTGAAAGGACAAAACTGACAACTACAGAAAACTCCAGGATGCTTTTACTTTAGCAGCCATTCAACTTGCAATACCTGAGTGCTGGAGGGTGAGGAAGAGTGAGGAGGTAGGGATTTTAATTAACATGAAATTATATCTTGCAAAATATTAAAATGTACAAACCTCATAATGTTCATATTCATCCACATCAAATGTCTCAAAGTCAAAAAATCCATGTTGTAATCCCTAGAAGCAGAATTTGAATTAGTTTTTTCACGAAAAATTGGTAAGTCCTCTTGTCATTCCTAGAATTCCTGTTCACAGATGATCCTCATTAACCTGAAGGAAAAAGCTTGATATCTTTCATTTATAATGCATATCTAGAAATCACATTCTAACATTAGTAATTTTGCACTGAAACTTTCTCACAAGTGGGACTTAACACTTAGAAAAGCATGAAAATATGTCCCACAAAATGTATCTAGAGTCCTAATTTACATTAGTTTTGTATAAAAATCAATTATGTATATAAAATGGAATATGCTAGCAAAAGTAGAGTTAAAACCTGTTGGGGGGATGTCTGGGTGGCTCAGTGGTTGAGTGTCTGCCTTGGGCTCAGGACCTGATTCTGGAGTTCCAGGATCGAGTCCCACGTCAGGCTCTCAGGGAGCCTGCTTCTCCCTCTGCCTGTGTCTCTGCCTCTTTCTCGGTGTCTCAAATTAATAAATAAATAAATAAATAAATAAATAAATAAATAAATAAATAAATAAATAAATAAATAAATAAATAAAATCTTAAAAAAAAAACCTATTGGGAACTATGCAATTAATTCACATCTAACTATGATAGAATATATAACAGTGATTAACTTTTCAGATAGGAGAAGAAAAATCAATTATTCCTGAGGTTTTGTTTCTCTTTTATCACTAATGAGCCACTTAGCAAAAGGGGCATTTTTACTTAATAGGCCCTTAATTGTTCCTAAAACTCTTTGAGAGAATTTGTTTCATGGTAATAGTTACTGACAGAGTAAAAGCGTACTTGACTGCTCTTACAATTTAGAGGAAGAGCTGATATTTTTAACAACACAAAGAAAACATTCATTACTCCTTTTTATAACTAATGACTTAGAACTTTGAAAACTATCCAGCTTGCTCAGATACAAAATTTTGAAGAGGACAGTCTTTTATAAGTCATGAAGCTATACAGATTATAATAGAATACAAAACCACTGTTACTTTTAAAAGTTACATATTCAAGTCTTTAAAAATAGAAGAAACTATTAAGTCAAGTTCTCGTACATCTATCTTTGAAAATACTTTAGAGACCAATGTTTTCCAAAATGCAGAACACGGATTACCTACAACAGAAGCACTTTAAAATACAAATTCCTAAACCCCATCCCAGAACTATTAAATGTGATTCTTTGGGGGTAGGATCAGCATTTTAACATGCCTTCTAGGTGTTTCTTATAAATGATAAATTCTGACAACACTGGTTTAGTCAACACTTGTTTTACAAGCAAAACAAATTTTTTAAATCCTTTCACCTTTAAACAAAGCAATTTAGTGGATCCAGATGCACCAATCCAGTGAAAGCAGTGAGAAAAATATACCGAGGACCTACAACCTTCCTTCCTTTCTCTTCATTCAAAGTGTGTGTTTGTACATGTTTCTGTGTGTAGTTCACACACGTGAACTATGCTTATGATGATGCCAATACAACAAAATCAGAAAGCTATGCTTCCTAAAAAGGCAAAAATGCAGCCACACTCTGTCTACATTCTTAGGAGTATGATACTCTTTGTCACAGCAATTGCCCAGAACACAGTGGCTTATTATGAAAGAGAGAGTATGGGGAGGGGTAGTGTGTCTCAAAGACATGTTGAACACTGCCAAATCTTCTAAAATCTCATCTACATTTGGGTAAAATAAACCCCAGCACTTGATGGAACAAGAAATTCACAGAAGACTTTATCCATGAACAAAGTCACACCTTTCCTCTATAGCAGGAAGGATGTCATAAATTTCTATATCAAGTTACCAAGTTACCACAACAGGCGGGGATATTCCAGTGTGAACTCTTTCTGAACTTCATAAATTTATAAAGAAACAGCCTGTACCAGACGGCAGAACAGGCAAAATAATAACAACAATAACAATAAGTAAGTTACTTTTTTACCCCTCGGGCATACTTTTTAAATGCTATCACAGTGAATTACATATTGAATAATATCTCCATAAGGATTCTTAACTTGTGTTACTAGAAGTCTGGGTTTGTGACATTATTTGCGGGATGTTCTAGAGCATTTTGACAGTTTTTAAGTGAAAAGAAAAATATTTGAAACTATTTTAAGCTTTTACAGAGCTTAAATTCATTTATAAATGATATATCAAAATCAAAAATAAACCCACAAAACTAGTATACATAACCAATTTTCTCAACTCAAAATGTAACAAAATCAGTTTTGTATTACATCAGAGAAAAACTGGAACAAGAGTCACTGCTGATAGTGTGTGTATAATCCATAATGACCCTTGCCAATGGGTTATGCAATATGTACATTCCTGACTGATGATAAATCATGGCTATACATTCAAGATGGAATCATGTACTCTGAACCTTCATTAGAATTCACAGTATAGCATGCACTGTGCATGACTTCCCAGTAGATCGATGCTTCTAGGAACAACCTTTGATTTATAAGACACCCTGATATACTAGAAAGCTCCAAATTGATAAGGAAATGTGAGTTAGAATTAGCCCTGCTAATAACTCCCTATGGCCCTAAGCATAACTTACCTTCTCTAGGATTGTTTCCTCATCTATAAAAATGAAATAATAATATCTGGCCTACTTACTCCTTCATAGGCATGTAAAATTTCCAGATAGGAAACCAACATGGAAATGTTCTCCCCCACAGTAAAAGAGGTGTGCAGTGGCTTCCTATCTCTCCCACACTAAACTCTAGCTTGATAAGGAAGCCACATCAGTGACAAAGCAATGTCACAGGCAGAGCAGCAGATAGAAATGATACATCTGCCCCAGAACAGGATTAATTTAAATAAGAAAGAGAAAGCCCTTCTACTGCAATAAGGAGTTAGAGTTACTCCCAGACACTCCTCAATTTGCCCGACAGTCTATATTTTACAGATCAATCATTCCATCAAGAAGTGAAAGCCTTCTGTTCACTGCCTGTCCTTTCTTCTCTGCAATGACAAACAAGGATGTTGACATTATTCTTTTTTCATATTTTGAAACTTCTATGTCAACTACAGCAAGGAGAATTATTATTACCTTTCTGATTCCCTGCAAACAGTCGAGGATGGTGAGATTATAAGTGCAATTTCCAAAGGAAGCATCCCTATAAATACAAAAAACAAAACAAAACACTAAAAATGCACATTCAGAATATTCAAATAATAAAATACCAAAGTCAACTGACGATATGCTTGTTTGGCTTCACAGCTGTCAACACGATAAATTAATGTAACCCATCAGATCCTATTAGTTAACTACTCTTAGAGCTTTACTGAATCATTTCTGAAACTACTTTAATGCAATAGGCAGAATTAACCAGAAAAGCAGATCTAAGAGCCTGAGCTCTGAAGCCAGACTGCCTTCATTCAAATTCCAGCTCTGCCACATATGGCTGGGACCATGAGCAAGTTATTTTACCTCTATGAGTCTTGGTTTCCCATCTCTGAAATGATGTTACTGATAGTATCTGCCATTCACAGGATTGTTGTCAGATTACATCTAATAAATATAAAGTCCTTCATATAAGACCCTAGGATATAGGAAGCACCTAATAAATATTATGACTATTCTTTATATTATTAACAGTGAACTAGACTGTTTCATTAAGTAAAACATTCATAATCACTAAAGGTATTCTGACAGAGGAACAACCACCCGTCAGGAATATGATAAATACAAGCATAAAAATGTAAGGAGGACAATGTAGGCAAGTCATCAGAAGCTAGCTGTTATTATCATGGATTAAATGCGACCCCTTCCATCTACCCACCCTCCTCAGCGCCACCAAAAAAAAAAAAAAAAAAACTATGGAAGAGGCAGTCACACTTCCGAATAATCTCCTATCAGATCCATGAGAGCTTCTAATGCACCATGAAGTGTTGTTATCAAAAGGAGTGGGAATCTACTGCACCGAAAATTGAGTACTTCATACTTTATTTAAATTTTTAGAGTAACTTAGCAGACTTGCTTCAGGCAACATAAAACTGAAGTATCAAGTTCAGGTGAAGCAAGAACTGGCACTAGAGCTTTAACACTAGCAGTGTTCCAAGGTGTCCAAGGCAAGAAACTTGACCTCAAGGTTCTCAGTCTCTCTCCCTAGGCCCCACTGCTGACCCAAAGGAACAGAGCTGTCCGGCACCTGCCAATAACAAAAGTCAAATGCAGCACAGAAAGTCAGTCCAAGGGCAGCAGTGGGGAAGGTGCCAGATGATGCTCCATGGGGAGAAAATTACCTGTAAGGGCTTTAACATATAATTAACATATCACAACCATCCAAGGCAACTTGAACCTATGGCTGCCACACCATAAGTTAAAATGGAACTTTAACGTCACTGGGTTTCAGCACCCTGATAACCTAATATAAAAACAGTAAGTCAGGGCAGCCCGGGTGGCTAAGTAGTTGAGCGCCGCCTTCAGCCCAGGATGTGATCCTGGGGACCCGGGATCGAGTCCCACGTCAGGCTCCCTGCATGGGGCCTACTTCTCCTTCTGCCTGTGTCTCTCATGAATAAACAAATAAAATCTTAAAAAAAAAAAAAGACAGTAAGTTAGCCAAGCAACTTACCAGAAATGTTTAAGTCCTAAAACTTCAAAGTTAACCTATGTAAATAGGAAGGGATATTCTAGATATGTAAGTCTGATTTCAAGACTTCTTTTTTAGCGCCATCTGAATTCATGGGTCAGTGAAAACCAAAATAGCTCCTCTTCCAAATATCTTGTATAGACATAGGCCATACATTAAAAAACATATTTTAATGGATTAAGCCAGAGAAAGGTGTAGCTGGATAAAATAGTGGTTTATAGAAATAATCACATATTCTTTTGTAGGCACTTGTCTCTTTGGGACAAGGGTTCAGAATTTTTTGTGTGTCATGGACCTCTTAGCAATCTGATGAAACTTGTGAACTCCTTTTCTCGGTTCAGAATCTCTTGTGTGTCATGAACCTCTTAGCAATCAGATGAAGCTTGTGAGCACCTTTTCTCAGAATAATGCTTTTAAATGTATAAAATATAAAAGAATAACAAAAGAATAATTCAAATTTATCAAAATACAAAAAACAAACTTACAATACCATAATATTTACCTAACTTAATGTTTATTAGAATGTGACAAGATCTAGTAGGTTTAACAATAATTTTGAAGAAGGAATGAACATAAATAATAAGATATATGAAATATATAAGATGCATGCCAAAACCATAATGGGATACAAAAATGTCTGTAATTTCTATTGTGACATTCATATTGCTAATACTACTAGAGTTTATTTCCAACATTTATAATTGAAGGTAATTTTATCAGTTATATGATTAGTGAAAACAAAGACATTTTTCTTGTCATTCAGATTCAACAACTCTTGAACTATCTCCACAGACCCTAGATTAAAAATTACTGATTAAGTGAAGAAAAGGGGGAAAAAAAACTTTATTTAAAAGAGTAAAATAATTTTAAGAAATTGGAAGTACTCCTTATTCTCTGAAGTATGTCTCCCCATGGCTAGAGTCACCTAAACAAATTCACACAGGTAAGTCATCAGAAAAGCTCCAGACCCCATCTTTCTGGCTGTCTGCAAAGTTTGATGAGACGATCATGTTATCTCTTGTCCTATCATAGCCACAGTTTTTCCTGGTGCCTGAAAGAGAGCTCTGGTGACCTGATGATCAAATCTGCAGACCTGAGAGAGGAGGGCGAGTTAACATGCTATGGGACAGAATTAGGATACAAAGTAGTCACAGCAGGCTAGAAAGACAAGAAGTTTACAGCTAGAAAAATAAAAAGGGATGCAATAAAATTAGGTCCCATCCTCAGAACTGGGGAAAGGAGATGACATACCCACCAAGGAGACTATACCCATCACTCCGGGGGGTAATTAATCCTCATGACAGCTGCACGGAGACGATAGGTTCCCAAAACCTGCCCCCATACCAACTGGGAGAAATGGCTTAATAGTGGAACCCGGCTCCTACTTCGTCAAAGAGAATAACCATAAAAGTGAAGGGATAAAAAATGTATTACACATTCTCTCATGGGAAAAAGAGAGAAAGAAAAGGAAGAGGTGGCAGATTGGACACACAGTCTGCCAAAACCACACTAAAAAGAGAATTTTGAAAGGCTTTTTAAAAATGGATTCCAACAACTTCAGGGAGAATAAGAGAGCAGAAAACAGCAATAAAATCCCGAAAGCTGGAAATCAGACAGATGAGGGGTAGTAAATTACAAAACCAAGAAAACTGAACATTAAGATGCCAGTGAGAAAGTTAGAGAATGGGGCGCCTGGTTGGCTCAGTGGTTGTGGGTCTGCCTTTGGCTGAGGTCATGATCGTGGAGTCCTGGGATCAAGCTCCTATCAGGCTTCCTGAAGGGAGCCAGCTTCTCCCTCTGCCTTTGTCTCTGCCTCTTTGTGTGTCTCTCATGAATATGTAAATAAAATCTTAAAAAAAAAAAAAAGGAATCAACCCAACTAATACTAGAAATTTCCCCAAAGGTTCAGGATTTGGCAGCACTGGGCCCTTTGGGAAGTGAGAATGAAGGAAATGACTGAAATAAGATTGAAAGTCCATTCAAGAAGCAGAGAGATTTTATTCTATAAAAGAAATATTATTTCCCATATTATAAATCAGTCTTCCCTGATGATTTCCCTCAACCCCTCAGGGCAGTCAGAACCATCTGAAAATAGAATGGTTGGCCCTGGAAGACAGCAAGATACCTGCCCCATGCAACATTCAAGATTGAATCAGAGGATTGCTTCAGGATGATTTTTCACCTGCTTTGTTGTAAGAAATGGAGATCCAGGTTAGGAAAACACAGTTAACCATGGAAGTCCCTTCAACTCTGAAACTGTATCATTATTCAACACAACTGATGATCACTTTCTTCTCCGGATCTCTACCTGGGGTCCTTCCCAACAGAATTTAAACATTTTCAGGTATCTAACCATCTTCAAAAGAAGAAAAATCATTCCAAACCTTCTTGACTGAGTATCTCCCCTCAACCACCACCCCTCTCCTTACAGCCTCCCCTTTAAAAGGAATCACAAGACTTCTCTGAAGAATTGTGAATTTAGCATTTTTGAAATGGATAGTTCAGTGATTTATTTTAGCATAATCACAATGCTGTGGCTTTTGGTATATCACAACTCATAGCACCATTAATTCCAAAACAGTTGTGCGCCCCCCAAAAAAGAAACTCTTAACCCATTTACAGTAAACTGCTCACTCTCCCTCCCCACCCTTGGCAATCAATAACCTACTTTGTGTTTCTCTGTATCTACTTCTTCTATGCCCAGGGAATATTTCCCAAGCACCATTTTATTGAATTTGTCAGCAAAAGCATCGCACTCCTTTGAATACTCTCTTCACTAGCTTCCTGGATTTTTCTTCTACCTCTCCAAATATCACTCCTGCCCAATCTTCTTGGCAAAGCCATCCTTTGCCTCCCAATCCTTAACAATTAGAGATTCTCAAGGTTCAATACCAGACTCAAATTCTTGTCATTTCGTGCTCTCTCCCTAGCCTAGGACTAGTTGGGAAAACATCCACATCACCTGGATGGTTCCTTAAATACAAAATGCTGGGCCCCAACCAAGGTCCTAATCTAATAGGCCTGGGGCAGAGCCTGTGAATCTGCATTTCTAACAGGTTTCCAGGTGGTATTAATGCCACTGGTAGAAAGGAGCACATTTTGAAAACTGCCCTACACTATTTCATCCATTTAAATTGCTCTAACACAAACTTCTTAAGACTGCACAACAGTATAGCCAACCATATACCATTTGGGTGACTTAAGGCTTCTCACATTCACTGCGTAAGAAGACCTTCTTGCAGCTGCCCCACCCCAAAACAACAATAATAATCCAGTCCTCTAGCACTGCCTATCTCCTAAAAGACTTGGCTTCCACAATCATTCGTTAGAACTCAGATGTCCCTCCAGCTTTCATTCCCCTCATCCTGTCGACCGCCATGTCCCATTGCTTTTTCTGTCTTAACTGCCCCTGGGCTACATGGACTTCTCTCCAACTCCCCCACTACCTCTCAGATGGACTCTTGCAACAGCCTTCCCACACCCATGCCTCACCTTCCTGATCAGTCTTCTCACAGCAGCCA